AGGGTTACTTGTGTAGCTGTTTTTTGTACGATGTTATAAGTTTTGCTTTTCATAATGATAAACTTTATTAACGTTTACTTGTTTAGCTAATTCTTTTTTAGGATTACTACAGGATTTTGTGTTAATGATTCTCCATTAACTTTGCTTATTTAGCTGTGTGTGTTCGTTGTTATAACAGATTGTTGCACAATTGTTTTGTTAATTGAATTTATGTATTAATGGATGATTTAAAATGATTTTATAGTGTCGAATACATTGCTTTCCTTCTCCCCTCGAGTTTTTCCATTCCAAAAAAGGAGTCTATTTTTTAAATACCGTTTATTAAAATTTGTTACTGAATTACTCCATAAAACGTTGGTATTACTTTAAAACAGGCCTAGCCGAGATGACAATGGGCAATTTGTCTGATGATTCTCTCGACAATTTGACGAAATTTTTGATGATGGATTTAACCTTGGTGATGAAGAAAAAACGAGTTGAGGGCGATTTCCTGCACCCGATTTATTTATTGACCAAATGTGGTTAGAATGCGTCAGAAAAACGTGATTTTCTTGTACAAAAAATAGACATTATTCGGCTTCCAAGTTTAATATGGTTTATTACACATTTTAATTAAAATTAATGAAACCATTTCTCCAACATGGTCATTGGTGAAATGCAGCGAAGGCGGCCTTAGTGATAAACTTCGGGGAAAATCCTTATCACCTTGCACTCTCATGTATACATCATTCTATGAGTCTTGGTGTTAGAATAACATTTATCTGACAGATTCTAAGACAAAAGCTCATTTTAAAAAGCTAAGTGAATTTGGGGCAAGATGAATAAACTTTTATTGAAACCGCATGGATGGAACGCTCTTCGAGAAAACCCCTTTGATATCCTTACGCAACAACAGACTATCCGCGGTTTCTTTAATTATTTAAAGACTTTATTAAACCCTTTATGTAACTATTGTTATCGTGGTTATACAAAAAGAAGATATTAAGATATCTGATCCACTGGTCTGTACATATTCGCTTTTATATTCCAAATCCTTGTGTTCGAGCATACCGATTATTTAACACTGCCAATTGCAAATTGCCTTAAATTGTATTTTCTTGTTACACATGGTTCCAAACCTCTTAAAAACATAAGAAACATCCACTGATTCTATTTTTTAAAATAATTTTTACTTAATTGTGCGGTAAAAATATTTTATGTCTAGAAAGTATTCTATTTAGCTATATTCCAGAAAGTACACTATTTAGCTAAATTGAGAGCTCTGAAGAGGGACCAGGGACGTGGCCCAAAATGCATTGGCAATTAAAAATTATATGGCATAAAAATAAATGGTGTGTTTAGTTCAAAAAAATAACCAACTTTCCAGATTCGCTGATGCTCTCTTGTGCGTTCTGTAAATAATTGAAGATTCTATTAAACCATTTATGTTTTAGTGGTCAATTGACCAAGTTACTACTTTCAATTAATTATTCTTTTTATGTAAAGTCTTGGTCGAAAATGGCAAAAAGAGGGAAAATTCGAACGGTTGTAGATTGAGATGGAGAGTTAGTGTCCCAGAGGATGGAAGTCAAGATAGCTCAAGTGGTAGAGCAGCGGCGTATTTAGCCGAAGTTCGTGGGTTCGAATCCCGCTCGTGACACTTGATGATGACTTTTTACCTCAGACTTTACATAAAAGAATAATTTTATTAAACGTTATTTAACGAACGAGGCTGTTTTGTGCTGCGCTGGTGACGAACTTGGCCCACCGTTATCCATTTTTTGACACGTACACACAAAAAATTTTCTTGTTTGCTTCCTTGCAAGTGAAAACCTGACCTCTAGTTAAATTGTGTTTTCGCATATTCTTATTCACTTGAGGGTAACAGATTTTCGTTGATTCTGTCGCAAGACAATAATAAACCTTAATTTAACATCTATGATCAAAGTGTTTATAAGAAGAAGAAACTATAATAAATTTTGAGTTGGGCAAATTAGCTTTTATATTCTAACCCCTTCTTGGAGGTGCAGGCATTGCTTATTTACACCTTGCTCATTTCAAAATAATTAAATTGTTGTAAACGGTTCTAATGCTCTCCCCTGCAACATTCAGCGGTCTCTGTACACACGTTAAGATTTTATTGAACCGTGGTGGTTTAAGGGAAGACGTGGGACAAGGGAAACGAGTTCAACCGTGTGGTTTCTGGAAAATTCCATCAATAGGGCGACCACTTTACAAAATCACTTCTGTTGTAGGAAAAGAAAAGAAAGGGATTTTTTTCATTATCAGGGCCTTTAGAGCGGCAGATGCTATATTTTATCTGGGCTTTGGAGTGTTAACTTAACGATTTGACGGATTGGTCATTTTAAAATTTCTACGGAGGATTTGTTTTATTCATATCAACTGGGTAAAGGCGAGAAAAATACCCCAAATTCTCCAAAACCTGGAAATATTTTTTTGTGGACTAATTAAATACAAAGATTTACGATGACGTAAGTGTTATCATGTATTCCGTTAAGTGCAAATAACTCACGATTAACCTTGTGGATGGTTTTCCATTAGAGAATTTCACAAAATAATCGAGATATTGAAAACTTATTCTTACAATTAATTAAGATATTTTAGTTGAGATAAAAAGGTCAGTGTCACAAGCGGGATTCGAACCCACGACCGAAAAGGTGTGGTTGAGGTGGGAAGTTAAGTGTCCGAGTGGATCGAAGTCCACGATAGCTAAAGTGGTAGAGCAGCGGCGTATCTAGCCGAAGGTCGTGGGTTCGAATCCCGCACTTTCCCCCCCGCCGAACTTTTTTATCTCAACTAAAAATCCTTAATTAATTGAAAGATATTAATTGGTCAAGCGGACCACGAAAATTAGTGAACTTATTCTTACTTTGAAAAATAGCCTGAATTTTTTTTTTATTTTAGTTTTTTTTTATGAACATTCAATGTAGTATTGCTATCTATATAACGAGACGAAGCAATCATGAAGTTTTTCTTTTTCCCGGAATTGCTATGTTTGAACAGTTATTTTTACACCAGTTCGACTAAACAGCACCGCTCTCTTTCCTAATTGTTAATTTTCAACAGTAATAAGTTTTTGATTAATACCTTCGTTCCCATGTCAAATTGATCCTTGAAAATGGAAAGTTTAAAGATATTTCTTTTTTTAGCTTATTTTTTAGAAATTAATTAAGTTCATTCTTTGTACTTATATTTGTTGTTAATAACAATTCACTTGAAATAAAAGTTAGTGGATATTGATACAAAAATTTACACAATTTTAATTCAGTTTTATGTGTAACTGTAAAAATTATTTATTGAAAAATTATTTCAGGTGCAAAATTTATTTCAAAACTCCACAATTATAAGAGTTTATGGTAAAATTTTTCAAATTTCTCTCTGCGAATAAGCTTAAATAATAGTAAAACTTTATAAGCTTCAAACAAGGATCGCCGATCCACAGATTTTCTTCAGTTTAAACGAGTTTTGGCTTTACAATCATTTCAATTAATTATTCTTTGTATATAATGTATATGTTTTGTCCATCATTGATCCTGACTGTCTTTATGTAGCCCAATGTAGTCCAAACCAGTTTAATTAGGTACTAAATCGATTAGGTTTCGTGGTCCGATTGACCAATTAGATTCTTTTCAATTAATTACTCTTTAAGTATGGTATTGATTGAGGTAAAAAAGTCAGTATCACGAGCGAGATTCGAACCCACGACTTTTGGCTAAATACGCCGCTGCTCAACCAGTTGAGCTTTCGTGACTTCAAGTGAAATATTGAGCCGAAGTCGCGTATTCAAATCCCGCTCTTGACACTAACTTTTTCATTTCAACCGACCTTGCATAAAAAGTATAATTAAATGAAAGAAGTTATTTGGTCAATTGGACCACGAAATATAACGGATAAAATTAAAATATAATAGTATCCTCTCGGACACCAACTCTCCATTTCAACCTACAACCGGCAAAAAGAGGGAAAATTCTAACTGTTGTTCTAAAGGTAGTGGGTTCGAATCCCGCTCGTGGCACTGACTTTTTATCTCAATCAATACCATACTTAAAGATTAATTAATTGAAAAGAATTTAATTGGTTTGGATTTAGTACCTAATTAAATTGGTTTGGACTACATTGGGCTTCATAAAGACAGTTAGGATCAATGATGGACAAAACATATACATTATATACAAAGAATAATTAATTGAAAGAAGTAACTTGGTCAATTGACCACTAAAACGTAAATGGATTACAATCATTGTTGAATGTCCGCATGATTTCTCTCACCATAGCTTCTTCCTTCAATAAGGAAACAAACATCGAATGAATATACGACCGAAGGACAATTTACCCAATGACAAATAATTTCGAAACTCACAAAATTTAAAGAAGAATCAAATATTCCGTAATCCCAGTGTTCAGATATTTCTGGGGATAAGCCTGATTGATAGTACAACTTCATCATCTTCAAACGATGATCGCTGATCCACAGGTTTTTGCCAATTAAAGCGAGTTTTCCCTTTACAATCGTTAATGGAAATGTTCTCCCACGCTAGTCTCTTTCGGTGGGACAACACACATTGAATCAATATTATTATTATATGCATAATCAATACCGAAGGACGATCAAACCGGTTGCATAATCAGGCAATCATGCAACTGTTGTGTTCAGTAATGTTATTGTCCATGATTATTTGGAGATCGTGATATGCGGACTGGTATGACGTAGGTTTTAGAAAAACATTTTCTTTATCGTGCCAACGTTTCGATCTTTTCGAGATCATCTTCAAGGCTCAAATTGTTTGTTTTCAGTGTAGATGTGTCATTGTTGTATGTCGGGTTAACAGTGCGGGGGGGAATCATTGGCACTCTCAACACATCTACACGAAAAACAAGCACTTTGAGCCCTGAAGATGATCTCAATAAAGATCGAAACGTGGCACGACAAAAAAAATGTTTTCTAAAACCTACGTCACACCAGACCGAATCTCACGACCTCCAAATAATCATTAAGTAACGACGGTCACTAAACACCACACGTTATTGTCAATGATGACAGTAAGGACGAACGTGAACAACCTTTAGAGATTCTGATCGTGTGGAAAGTTCTTACAGGTTTTATGTTAATTTTTTTGAGTTATTGTTCGTAATTAAATCAGGCGTAATTAAATTGACTGCTCCTCACGAAACCAATAAACAATTATTACAGTTTAATTCACTGAGTACTAACTAACAAATCGCAAACTTTTGTTTTTCACCGGTGATCTCAAGGACTTTTTGAAATACTTTTTACGTTAAAGTTAAGTGCAATGGTAAAGTTGCTGGATTGCTAGATTAATGCCTTGAATAGTTTGATGTAATGAATGTTATCTTGATTTTACTTTGTTTTTGGTCCTCCCTTTCTCAATCTAAGATGTTACTTCTTACGTTCTGATTCTTTTGTAACGCTTTCATTCTTAGCAACTAACTCCGAAGTAAATCAAAGCCTAGGTGCTTAAATGATTTTACGAAATCGCACATTTTAACGCTGTTTAACAACCACCCGACGATGTGTCAAGTCACGAAGTAGTACAGTGTCGTTTCCCATGAGACAAAAAATGAGTAATATCTTTTTAAAAATAGGTTTTTAGATTGTTATTAAATTCCGTTTCGGTTTCGATGAATCCATCATCACCGACCGAATTCTTATCGATACGAGCTTTTATGGTAGCAGTTTGCCATTTACCTTTTGTTTTTTTACGTTATTTTCAATGCAGCTCATGTTCATGTCTAGCTTTGACGTTATCAAATCGGTATGCCACACGCCACCAGGATTCGTTGAAAGATGATTGCCGTCGCTGATCACTTGAGGAGATGGAAAATCGGTTCACTTTCATGCACTTCAGTAGATACATTTCTAATATTTACCCCACATTTTAAACATAATTTAGATCTATCCACTATAGGGATATCCTCATCGCGAGTTGGTCTGGAACTCCTTTGGATAATACTTCATGCTCTTCTCTCAATTCGTACGTATCACAAAACAAGCAATAAAAAAAAGATCCGTGTTTGATGTAAGGAAAGTTAGCGCAATGGTATTTGCTATGTCGTTTGGTCACACGATCAGTCAATTGTGGAGGTTTCGGCTTCTTTCAGGATTCAGGAAAACAGACGGAAACAGAGCCGACACATCGACCCGTCCCTTAAACGGAATAATTTTTTTTCACGCCTGGGAAATCACAGATCGTCCTGGCCGAAGGCGAATTCCCATGATTCCGGATGTCAGGGGAACGTATGAAAGGAACAAGAAAAGTGAGTCATTCCCATGGCCATCGGCGAAGCCAAGGACGACGTGTGCTTTTAAAAATCGTACCCGGTCCGGTAATCGAAAAAGTCCCATTGTATAACACGTTTTCAGCTCTTATACCCGACACGATTTAAAGGAAAATGAAAACGATAGCAGGTGCGTCGGCCAGAAAGCCATTGTTTCCTCCACGGTTGGCGGATCATCCAAAACCATTTACGGTCGGGTAACAGTCAACTTTTTACACATTTGTCTCTCTACAATTAGTCTAAGGTGGAAACAGTTATAAATTTGCAGCCAAATGACAAAGAACAACAATTTTATCATATCCCAAATTTCCCCTGAAATTTACTGAGATTACGACTGCTTATTAACTTAAATAATCATTCTCCCCTTGCTATCCTGTTAAATAAATATACAGTCCTCTGAAAAAATATAAACTAACTTCTTTAATTTTATTCCATTTCAAAATGAATATAATTTTGAAGCCAAAACTGTTTGTAGCATTGAATAATAGTCCGTAAAGTGATAATTTCCTTTTCCAGCCTCAAACTTTTTAGATTCGTCATCAGACTCAAATTTTACAAATAAACCCTTGTTTAGTTGATTATCTTTTCAGTTTACCTTTTCTTATCATAGAGACAGTGCTCCTTTTGTTAATTTTGTTAAATAACTGAGTGAAATCGAGCATGAGCGAATAGTCTATTGAAAAGAGCAGGGATGATAGCTCGCGAGTTAAACCGCTATCAGGTGTTAAAAATTTATAAATTCAGGTCCGGAAAATTAAGAAAAAAATAAAAGAACTTGAACAGCTCCCACATTTTCCGGCCATTTAGAACATGCTGTTTTGAGAAAGGTTAGGGTTTCAACTTGCAATGTCATGCCAGCCTAGTAAGGCAGCTGAAACCAGTCGGTATTTGTAATATCAAAATATTGAAAATTGAGTGGTGTTTAGTGACGGTTACTCAGTGATTATTCGGAGATCGTGAGATGCGGTCTGGTATGACGTAGATTTTAGAAAAACATTTTCTTTATCGTGCAGACGTTTCGATCTTTATTGAGATCAGGACTCAAAGTGGGCACTCTCAACACGACAGACAAGAATGACACATCTACACGGAAAACAAACACTTTGAGCCCTGAAGATGATCTCAATAAAGATCGAAACGTTGGCACGATAAAGAAAATGTTTTTCTAAAACCTACGTCATACTAGACCGCATCTCACGATCTCCGAATAATCATTGAAAATTGAGAGAAAACCAAACCTAAAAAGCATCACATTAAACGGTCGCAGTTTGCTGAAAAAAATGTCCAGAAAAGTTAAACTTGGCCAAGGGTTATTTTTAGTGAAGAAAACAAGTTCAATCTTGTCGGTCCGATGATTTCAATTATTTTTTTGGCATGACCTAAGAAAGGAAAAAAATTCTCCCGAAGGTCATAGATGGCGGTGTAATGGTATGGGCTGTTTTCAGTGAAAAGGGCAAGTCTCAAATCGCGTTAATTACTGGCAAAATAATTGCTGTAAAATACCAGCAAGTATTAGAAGAATATATTTTGCCATTTATTACCTTGTTGGAAGAAGAAGGGACAAATTTTCAACAACACAGCGCACCGAAACACATACACAACCCGGACCACCCTATTCCACGGTCACTGGCGAGGAGCTAAAACACCCATAAACCCGTAAGAATTAGTGGTCACTGGCGAGGTGGTAAAATACCTGTAAAACATAAATATTATTGAAATTCGTGTGGTGTTTCGTGACCGTTAATCAATGACGATTCGGAGATCGTGAGATGCGGTCAGGTGTGACGTAGGTTTTAGAGATCACTTCAGGGCTGAAAGTGTTTGCTGAGTGACTTCTCAACACGACACACAAGAATGACACAATTATCGAGAAAACAAACACTTTGAACCCTGAAGATGACCTCAATAAAGATCGAAACGTTGGCACGACAAAGAAAATGTTTTTCTAAAACCCACGTCACACCAGACCGCATCTCACGATCTCTGAATAATCATTATTAAAATTTATTTCAAATAAAGCTCGTTGATTTATCTCCACTTTGAATTTGAATTTCTACCAAAGGTTTGAAGTTGAAAATCGTTATCCTGACAAGTTGCTTTTTTGGGCTTATTTAGTTTTGTCCCGAGCTGCAGAATTATTCCGATTATGTTTTTGAAATTCACGTATATGGCAAATTAGAGTGTTTTTTAGTTCATATAATTCACTAGTTTTTGTGGTCCGCTTGACCAATTAATATCTTTCAATTAATTAATTTGAAAAATGGGAAAAAGGAGGGAAAATTCAAAAGGTGGTGTTGAGATGGGAAGTTAGTGTCTGAGTGGTTCGAAGTCACGAAAAATTAAGTGGTAGAGTAGCGGCGTATCTAGCCGAAGGTCGTGGGTTCGAATCCCACTCGTGACACTGACTTTTTTATATCAACTAAAAACCTTAATTAATTGAAAGTACATATAATATTACATATTTTAAGTTTTATTACTGCATAATATACGACAAATTTGAGGATTTTTATCGCATATAAATCCGAGCTCTAGTTACGATGTTCAAAGGAATGAAACAGAATGCGCAGCGCCGTGTTCGTAGTGAACCTTAGGTCACTGCACGCAATTTGTATCTATGGAGTGTTCTTATGTATAAAAAGCACGTTTGGAAAGTGAACCTGTTTATATTAATGTGTGGTGTTTAGTGACCGTTAGTTAATGATTATTTGGAGATCGTGAGGTGCGGTCTGGTGTGACGTAGGTTTTAGAAAAACATTTTCTTTATCGTGCCAACGTTTCGATCTTAATTGAGATCATCTTCAGGGCCTGGGTGTTATAAACAAACCTTTTTTCACATCCTACAGGTATTTGTGTAATTTAAACATTGTTTATAAATCTCAGGACCTGAAGATGATCTCAATAAAGATCGAAACGTTGGCACGATAATGAAAATGTTTTTCTAAAACCTACATCACACCAGACCGCATCTCACGATCTCCAAATAATCTTTTTATATTATTTTTTATTGTACAATTGTGAATTATTTGTACTTACTATTATATTACATATGGTACTGTATTGTTATATATAAAATATATTATAATGGTATACGGTCGTTTCCGACTAATTTGCTATGCCTCTCTGCGTTGTTTCGGTCTGTCAATCCTAATCAGTGCTGGATCATTCGAAACGCTTTTATTATTATGTGTATAAGTATGTTTCAACTAAGTAATATTACAGTAGTAGTGTCATGTGGCCCATAGACGTAGAATATAACGCACAACAACCAATACAACAAATACCACCAGACGGTATTTACCATCGTGTATAATGTTAATTTACTTTGTTTTGTATAAATTTCTTTTTGTTGTTAAATAAACATTATTATTATTATATACAACGCACAACAATCGAGTTAGAGCAATTAAATTGAATCATGTGGATATAATATTGACGAATTGAGCAATATATGGTGCAAAGCGGGCATGTACAATATTATTGCGAAAGAAAATCAGTTGCTGGGTATTTTTAGTCCGTAAAGAATTGTTTTTTCAAATAACTTCTTGCTTGTCTGCATTTAAGAATTTTTCGCGATATTCCTCGATTAGCACGTCGTACTGTTCAATTTTTTTACGATTGCTATAATCTTTGCTCTTAACATCCCACAGATTCAGTAGTGAATGGTTTACCCCAATAAAGTCCATAATGAACCTTATCTCTTTGTTTTGCTTCGCACGACGATAGCTCTCAACAATTACTTGATAGGAACTGACGCGATATTACGGAAGGTAATGTTGTGTAGACACTGTACAATAGTTTCCATATTGTACAATCAATATTAAAAAAAAACTAATTTGACACAATATATTGCTCAATGCTTTAATATCATCTATACACAATCAACTTTATTGTGCAATAATATTGCACGTCTATGGGCCGCTTTATAAAATGATACCAGAACGGACTTTCTATCTAATATAGGTTTAAAAGGCCGATCCTTCATTTTGTGATATACGACTGACGATATTTTCTCAATTTGCATTCCAGGCATGGGAATGAATTCGTCTCTTTTGAAAAACAAAACAAAAAACACTGAAAAATGAATATTGCTTTAAAAAATAGCGAGCAAATAACCGTTGGAACAATTTCCCCTGAAATTCCTGAATTTTCGTTTGAATAGAAATAGCGCGGTCACTTTCTTGTGGCAATCCGTATCCCCTCACCCTATAGACAATAAAGACAGTATCAAGTTGAATTATTGAATTTATTCTAGGACGTCAGGGCTGATCTCGGGCTCAGCAGTAAACGACAAGGTCGCCTCCCCCGGCTTATAAATTGTTCATATCGCAGCACCGAAATTCACCTCACCCGGCTCTAAATCCACTTATGATTATTTTATGATTACTCACATCTCTGGGATAAAGTGGTACCGCTTTACGGCGTATGTCGACAGTCATGTTTTGGCATTTTAGTCTCCTTTTTACGTCTTTCTGCATTTACGATTTGACAAACTGAATCTTTCGTTGAAATACGTTTGAAAAACTATTTGACTCGATGTACATGTTATTCGCGAACCGTTTGCGCCCTGTGTGGCTTGATTGTCCAGATCTAAACTGATTTTTGAAGTTGTTTGTTCGCAGATTGATCTTCCATGATCAATCCATTCTCCTTCTTTTCGCCATGACAGACAAAATGGAGAGATTACGAGAGGCAACAACAGGACAGTCACCAAAGATGGGAGTTTGATCTATCTTCCTACTGTTCAGAATTACCTATGTATATTGTACAACTATGACTTGTCATAAATTAATTCTCAAAACCAGTTAATGTAAATTAAACTCTGGTTTAATTTTTTTTTCAAGACTACATTTTTAAAGGTATCCTTCCTTTCCGACAGTGCTTCCTTTCTCCCTGAAAATATTAGCATATACGCCGTTTAAGCGGTTGATGAAGATTGTCAGGAGTTTCAAAACTATCCATCCCTACTGTACCAATAATCGCTGTTTCTCAAGTCGAGACTGCTGTTTTAAAAAAATCGCCCCAAAATCACATATGGCTACAAATTCTAAAAATTCAACTGCTACCATTTTTATATTTGGATGGATAAATTGTTAAAAGAGCGTTAAAAGAAATAGTTCCCAGGGATAATAAATGGGTATTTGTCGTTGTTGGTCTCCGGCCGAGCTTCCTTTAATTTCGCAATTACGCCAGTTGGCCTGCGGTTTGATTAAGATTGTCAGGTCAATCCTGGTTAAAACTGATTTTTGTTATCGTCCAACGATTTGGTTTTTTTATTATTAAAGATTGACTTTACCGGCACGCCGAGGGTTCATATAACCTCGTTGAAATAACTTCTTCTTCTTCTTCAGAAAAAAAAATTCAACTTCAGAACTTATAAACAATCACAATCATAATTTGATCAATAATTAGTTTATAAGAAGTTGAATATTTTTCTATAAAAAATATACTGTTTTATATAGATTTAGGTAGTTTCTGGCAGTGCTTACCATACTCCCTAAAAAATTCTCCCAGGTTAACGATTATCTAAAAAAAATTGACTGTAAAATATATAAACAATCACGATCATAATTGGATCAACGATTAGTTTGTAAGAAGTTGAATATTTTTCTATAAAAAATATACTGTTTATATTGATTTAGGTAGTTTCTGGCAGTGCCTACCGTATTCCCTAAAAGATTTTCCCAGGTTAACGAATACAAAAACAAAAGATTGACTCACGATCATAATTGTTCAATAATTAGTTTATAAGAATATTTTTCTATAAAAAATATACTGTTTTGTATAGATTTAGGTAGTTTCTGGTAGTGATTACCATACTCCCTAAAAAATTCTCCCAGGTTAACGATTATCTAAAAAAAAAAGATTGACTCACGATCATAATTGGATAAATGATTAGTTTATAAGAAGTTGAATATTTTTCTATAAAAAATGTACTGTTTTATATAGATTTAGGTAGTTTCTGGCAGTGCTTACCATCCCTAAAAAATTCTCCCATGTTAACGAATATCGTCAGATCTCTGTTGGTGTGCATGTCCTCCTTGTACAGTGCTGGACATATTGTGTTGTGACCGAACAAAAATAACGATACGAGTCAAACATTAATTAAAATCAGGGATTTTGATAATTTACTAGACTTAAGCTCTTTAAAATTGGCCCCAGATTAATGAATATCGTAGGTTTCATCTGTTCGCTGGTGTCTCATATCCTCCGGTCTGGACTCAGTGCTGGCCGCAGTGTGTCCTGTGAACGAGCAAAAATAACCATATTGTAAACATTTATAATCTGTATAAAAAATCAGGTAGTTGAGGACAAAACTTACTTACCCCTTCATTATTTGCCCCAGGTTGATGAATTTGCGTATGCAAAAAGTGGTCCAGCGGTATTATACCAATCTTCTTTCATTAGGGTATGTAAAGGGTAAATTTTCTTCAAACAGGTCTTGTTTTATAAAATTAAAGTTATCATCCTAAAAGTATACTTCTTCAAAATACCAGGTTGGTAATTAATCGCTAAGAAATCCTATGGTTTAAAACCGTGCGAATATTTTTCTGGTTCCACATTTGTTAAGACCTTCTTCCTTTCTGGCAGGGCTTCCTTTTTTATTAGCTTTTGTCGGTCGCCGTTCCCATTTCGTCCTCTCTTTATCAAAAATAAAGGGCATAAAAAGGACAAATCTCCATGTATTTTTTCCCTACACCGAGGCATCCCGTCCATTTATTTTCGAGCGGATTAACTTCCCCTTGCTAAAGAGACCAGACAGTACTTATTTCCCACTGGTTCGGCTAACGAAGGCGGATTTCTTGTCGTACCGTTAGCTTTTAGGAATTAGTTTGGATCCGGCGAACTGTTAAACGGCTTAATTACGTTTTGTTTTTAATTACAAACCGTGGGTTATTAAGAATAGGTGTAGATTTTAGCCTGTGCGAAAATTCGCAGGAGCGGTTAGACATCATTAGTCCCCAATGTAGGGTGCCGGCGCCGAGCTATTTATGTAATTGAAGTCTCCTGTTTACTCCGCTCAATCAATAACACACAATTTACAATCTGTAAAATTCAAACGCAAGAATTGAAATCGATGGCCCATTCGCTTTCTGCATGACCACACAACTTTAGTCCTGTTTTCACTGGAATGTGAACTCTGTTGGAAGATGGCGTGTGGAACTAGCAAGACACGGCCTCCTCAGCCTTGATCGCTTATTGTTAACAACCGTCATAATGGTTAGAAATAACCGTCCGAATGTGGTCAGAGTGGTTGGCCGGTGGCATTTGGAGCAAATAGGGATTACCAAAACGAACTGGTCAGAATGCTCTACCCTGTTATGAATACCACTAAGACCCAGGAAGAAAAAGCCGGTTATTCTATCCTCAAAGTACACGCGAAAATTTAGAATTCTTCAACGTAATCAACCGTATAGGAAAAAAAGCACAGCAGGTTTTGTTCCTAAATTAATTCTAAAAAGAAGCAAGCATTGGTTAAAGGTTAGTTTATTTCTAAACCGAAAAGAACTTTCACCTGAACAAAGCAAGTTTTCTAAGAGATTTTTTTAATAAGATTTCTTAAAACAATGTGCGACATTTCACGTTACATTTTTGATCTTGCTTGTTTATAATGCTAGCTTTGTGTTAATCTTTCTTATCTTGTATACTAAACAAATATTAAATAATGGACATTCATTTGCATTCTTTCGTGATGATTTCAAAGAAGTTGACTAATAAAAATAACTCAAAATAACGAGGCCATTGTTTGATCATATCGATAAAAACTTGAACTTTGATACGTAAATAACGTCGGGTCTTGTTGAGTGTGAATTAAAAATTATGTGTATTATGCAATTATATTTACTTTTTTCCTTATGTATTTCCATCCTGCTAAAACAATATTTATAAATAATTGTATAATTTTTTGTGAACCCTACTATAGCACAAAATCCTTGTTATTTTAATAAGAAATTAGTTCGTTATTATAAAAACTGTAATGGTTTTAGAGAGAGAGAGAGAGAGAGAGAGAGAGAGAGAGAGAGACAGACAGACAGACAGACAGACAGAGAGACCTATTCAGACAGACAGACAGAGGAGAGAGAAACAAAAAAGAAGACCAAGGGAGAGAAAAGAGAATGAAAACTAAGAATATGAGGGTGTAAGTGAAGAAGAGCATGTAACAAAAATGAAAGAGGGAGAGATAGACAGACAGACAGAGGAGCGAGAAACAAAAAAGAAGACCAAGGGAGAGAGAGGAGAATGAAAATAAGAATGTGAGGGTGTAATTGAGGAAGAGCGTATAACAAAAATGAAAGAGAGAGAGTGAGAGCATTTAGAAAATAGAAAGAAAAAAATTTTAGGAAACGGATTGATGCAGGGGAGAGAGACTGCTAGAAATAGAAGTTCATTCGTAGTGATAAAAATAAATAGATAGATTTAGTGAACGAGAAATGGAGAGAGAGAGAGATAATGAGAGAGAAGGGGTATAAAATAAAACAAGAGAATGTGAGGGTACAAGAGAGGAGGAACGTATAACGAAACAGGGAAAAAGAGAGATAAAAGTGAGTTAGAACGAGAATATGGATAATGAAAGTGAAGAATAGGGAAAAGGTACATTTAAAAAAAAAGGAAAAAGTTTTAGAAAAGCTACAGCGGGAATGAGAATTTAGAAACAGTTTTATTCTTAACATGAAACACTTACATCCACGCCTTTTCACATAATAATTAAAGTTTCATTATAAGAGAAAAGATGTCAAGAAAAGGCCAAAATCACATATCTCTACATCAAGGACATAGAGACTTGGGGTAACAGGCTTTTTTCGTTTTTGCTACATGGTCTCCATTTATCTGGAACTAAATAAAGATCCATTTTGATCAAATTGACGTATGTCGCTTCTAAACTTTATACCCATCAGGAAAAGACTGTACATCAACCAAATAAGCGGGCTGGTGAGATAACACCTCCCGTTTTTGCTATATGGTATCTACCTAAGTCAAACTAAATAAGGTTCTATTTTGATTAATCGAGGAATTTCGCATCTAAATTTAATAAAGAGAAGAAGAACAGTGATATATGAACGCAACATTTTCCCTCCGGAGAAGCTACGGAGGTGGTATTGTTTGGGCAGGCATTTCTACAGAAGGACGTAGAAACTTGATCTTCGTCGAGGGTTCCCTAACAGCTGCACTCTACAGTGAAGATGCGTTATCCGAAGTTGTTCCTTATATGCAACTAATTGGTGACCGTTTTATTTTTATCCTTGACAATTCAAGGCCCCACACAGCTAGGATCGTTGATGACTACTTGGAACGGGCTTCAATTCAATGTTCGGAATGGCCAGCATGTAGTCCATACTTAAACCCTATCGAACACCTTTAGTACGAGTTGTCAAAGAGGGTGAAAAGTCGACCATGGCAACACCAGAGAATTTGCAGGAATTAGGATTGGCGCTGTTCCAGGCGTATGATTATATTTACATTACATTAAAAAACTCATAAAATCGAACATCAACGAATTGAGCATTTTCTTCATTGTTTCCATAGCAACAGCTTTGATAAAGTTGTTTTATTCAGTTTAATATTTTATTTATGCTTATTTATCTATATGTTATATTTTTCTTTAAAAAATCCAGTAAACAACAAGAAATAAAAATTATGTTTGCAAGTATTTACTTTAAAAAAATTGCCTCTCATTGCAGAAGCAGAGGACATATTGGACCGATGCGAATATGTTGTTTTTTCACAGTGAACTGAAGAAAGGAAATATGTAAAAAAATTTACCCACTCGTTTTCGCGTTTTCTGTTTCCACAGAACTGTGGAAATCAAAGAAATTATGCGTTTTTTAATGAAAAATTC